CCCTTCCAACTTTCTGCTTCTCTTCCTGCCAAAGCAAATGAAGCCAGCCCCATGCGAGCATTTGTCAGATCTCACGAGCAGATTTCTTACGACCGAGCAGCTTTGGAGCAGATGCATCGGGAAGTGAGGCGAGGAGAACGGAGATCCTTGTGGTTGGAATTCCATGCGTTTCAAAGGTTCGGCTGCAGCCTTACGAGATCAATTGGGGTTAGTCATATTGATAATGGAAGATAAAAAGAGCTGTTTAATGGCGTGTTGTAATGGAAACCCCATTTCAGGATCTTTAGGCTGCATCTCTGGAAGGACACAAGTGTTTTTGCTAAGGATCTTGAGATTGTGATGAACGATACCTCCAAACCTGCGGATGTCTCCTTCGTTTATTCAGGCACCCTACAAGGTGAAGTGTGCTTGGGAAGAAGTCCCACCCCCTTTCTTCTCTCCCTATTATTAATTTATTCACAGAATTTATATATCCAATACTCTCCCCTCCTCATCCATTTGCTTCCTTCCCTTCCCTTCCCTTCTTTCCTTCCCTTCCCTTTTTTCCTTTCCTTCCCTTCCCTTCCTTCCACTCCCCTTCCCTTCCCTTCCTTTTTTCCTTTCCTTTGCTTCCTTTCCCTCCCTTTCCCTCCCTTCCCTTCCCTTCTTTTCTTCCCTTCCCTCCCTTCCCTCCTTCCCTTCCCTTCCCTTCTTTCCTTCCCTTCCCTTTTTTCCTTTCCTTCTCTTCCCTTCCTTCCACTCCCCTTCCCTTCCCTTCCTTTTTTCCTTTCCTTTGCTTCCTTTCCCTCCCTTTCCTTCCCTTTCCTTCCCTTCCCTTTCCTTCCCTTCTTTTCTTCCCTTCCCTCCCTTCCCTCCTTCCCTCCTTCCCTTCCCTTCTTTCCTTCCCTTCCCTTTTTTCCTTTCCTTCCCTTCCCTTCCTTTCACTCCCCTTCCCTTCCTTTTTTCCCTTTCCTTTGCTTCCTTTCCCTCCCTTTCCCTCCCTTTCCTTTCCTTCCCTTCTTTTCTTCCCTTCCCTTCCCTCCTTCCCTTCCCTTCCCTTCTTCCCTTCCACTCCCCTTTTTTCCTTTCCTACCCTTCCCTTCCTTCCACTCCCCTTCCCTTCCCCTTCTTTTTTTCTCATCTTTTCCTTTCCTCTTCCCTTCCGTTCCTTACCCCTCCCTACCCTTTCCTTCCTCCTCTATTTATTTCCTTCCCTTCCCCTTCCTCTCTTCATCCAATCTTTTTTTTAAATAAAGCTCTTGGTTCTTAAAGAAATATTGAAAAGATCCTTGCAAGCATGTTTTGGTTTATGTTATCATTCTGGCCTCACCACGGACTTTCTGTTTCGATTTAAACCCAATTGATGGAGTTGGGCATTTGCCCTGCGGAGAGGGGGGATCGGTGCAGCCTTGTTTACGCAGATACCTCGCAAAACTGCACCGCTTTGTAGCTTTGTCGGCGTGATCATCCATCTGCTTCTACTTGTAGCTTTTTTTCCGATATGACTAAAGTGACTTTTGGACAGGAGATGCAGCTTCTTCCTGCCACGGGTCCATCGTCCACGGCGCCTTTGAGGGATTCATCCAGACGCAGAATGGCACCTATTACATTGAATCTGCGGCTGTGGTCAAAGAGCCTCCCCAGGCCCTTTCCTTCATCTATCACCAGAGAGACTTAGGTGAGAACGTCGAACACCCCAAGGATTGAGCCCAGTGGTGGGGTTCATTTTTTTTTTTTTTTGCTACCGGTTCTGTGGGTGTGGCTTGGTGGGCGGGGCAGTGAAAGGTTACTGCAAAATCCCCATTCCCTCCCCACTCCACTAACCTGCTTTCCAGCTCTGTTCTCCTGTGCAGGGCAACCAAAGAAGACCCAGCCGATCAGCTAGGACTTGGGAGGCAGTGGGGGCGGGGCCAGTCAGAGGTGGCATTTGCCGGTTTTCTGAACTACTCAAAATTTACGCTACCAGTTCTTCAGAACTGTTGAGAAGCTGTTGAATATCACCTCTATATCTATCTATCTATCTATCTATCTATCTATCTATCTATCTATCTAT